TTAAGATTCATGAAAAAAAGTAATGCAACAAAGAAGAATTTAAATAAAAAGAAAAAACTAAATGAATAATCCTTCTTTATATTTAATTAAATTCCATCGATATTTCAGTCTATTTATATAATCATTATTAAGACAAGAATAAGAGTGTTGCTTGTAATTTTAATTTACCAAAATCTGTGCCTTGACACAATCTGATGTTGAATAATCAATACTAATACCACGACCTTATGTAAAATGACCTGTACCACTATCAACACCGAATATAATATCACTACCATGATCTATTAAAATGAAAATTAATATAGAATAGTTGAGTTAGCTTTGTTGCAGCTGGTATATATTTACCGAAAATACATCTTGATGAAATTTGTAGATATGTACAAGGGGGAAAAAGCGGATTTTTTGGGATTTTAAATCTGAAAAAATCCCAGATAATCCCAAAAAATCTCAAAAAATCCCAAATAATGCCAAATAATCTCAAATAATCCCAAAAAATCCCGAAAAATCTCAGATAATCTCAAATAAGCCCAAATAATCCCGAAAAATCCAAAATTATTGTAATTAACTTTTGGCCACTAGTGACATTTTCAGGCCTTAATTTCAATATCGATAAACTAAATTAGCAGTTTTTCAAGAACAGTAAAGGTCAGAAACCACAGTCAACTCAATAGATAATGTGATACAGCATCATGAGTTTTCTAGTACGCTGTAAAATGAATTCGAAATCGGTAGCATTTCCTTCATACCAGAGAATCTGAGATTAAAACATTTCAATAGCTTTAATCACTTCGCAATGGCACGTCATATAGGAAATCTCTGCCCGTACATTAGAAAATTATTTGAAGAGCTATTATTATTTATAATTAGAAGATAATGTTGCTAAATGATAGTGATTTTTCATGCTGTCTTTACATCTTCGTTTGCCGATTTTAGTAGATCTGACTCAATAATGAGCCAAAACAGAAAAGTATATGTAGATTTTCGAACAGATACTTTAGAAACCATCAATTTGTCTTTTTCGGAACCTGTGCTGTGCATACCAGATAAATATACTGAATTCGGCCGAGAAATATAAGAGAGAAAAGATCCACCGTCACCAATCCTTCTCTCATTGATTAAAATAAATGCTCATCTAAAGACATATCAGGCTTTTCTTGTTATTGATAATAAAATTCTACGTAACGTTTTATCAATCAATATCTTCAACTCATAATAGCGTCAGAGCAAGTTTCGTTCAACCGAAGAAATAGAGCTGGTTGGATATTTTATCGTGACAGATCTCAACAGGGCCAGGTTAAATAGTTTGGTCGACCGATATGAG